TCTTTACTTACTCCTTTAAACTTTTGAAATCTATTATTAATATCCTTCAGAGCACAAAAAAACCCTAAAAGAAATGAAGAGCCAAAATCCTACGCACTAAGCTCTGTTATTTCTTCATTGATGTCTTCTAAAGGGGTTAAGCATAGAAGACAAAGAAAAAAAATCACAGTTACATTTGGAATAGTGTGGGGAAATGAAGCAACAGATGGAAAATCAAAATCTTGATTTTTCTGGACTTGTTTCAAGTTCCAACACTGACAGCAATTGGTCCACCTTTGTGAAACTTTTGTGCAAAAAGATACAACAGGCTTTGTGTACTTCTCACCATTTTTTATCAGTGTGTTATTATTAGAGAGCCAAAATGTATTCATAGGAATGCAGAATTTGGATGAAGGTGCAGATTCTGCTTTTCAAGGCCTGCGTGCCAAAATATTTCAGAGCTGCAGAGCGAAGTGTAAACAACCCCAGCTCAGCCATTTCCCTGCTCTCTCCAGCAAGGGGCAGACAACGCACATTTTATTCCAATTTCCCCACTCTTCCCTCTATTTCAACTTAGAACTTTCAAAGCTTTTACAATAAATGGAGTCTGACAGCTTTAGTTTATTTTAGCAATAATCACAAGACGATTTTTTCTGCAAATACAATAAATGTTATCCAAGAGCAATTTGGAGCAATCAGTATTGATATTTATACCATGTGTGTTGATTGAAAAGCYCTTGGCTGTAAGAATGGAATGTGAATCGATCCAGAATGCAGGAATATCTTCTAATGTGTGCTCATGTGGGAGCTATAAAAGTGAGTTTATTATAATTAGTGGGAAAATCATCTTGTTATGAACTAAGAAGAGAAAAGAAAGCGATACCATCAGTTTGAGCAGTTCAGTTAATTTTTCTTAATCTGTTTTTGATGCTCTTTTTTTGTTAGGATATACTGCTCTTCAGCAATTCAAAGACTTTTTTCAATCTCAATATGATTTTTGGAGTGTAAAAGAAAGGCTTTCAAAATTATAATCAGTAACAATGAAATAGAACAAAAAATAGTACCCAAAAGGCCAACGTTGCATAGAATATTAAAATTTACATCTTCAACAGGCCAATTTCTTCACAGAAGAAACTATGGATTGAACAACTCTAAAAACACCTTTCAGGTTATTCATTCTACAGGAAGAAAAAAACCTTAGAGGTCATTGCAGACAAGAAATTTAAAAGCAATTTAAGAATTCTGCTACTGACATACACTGCCCCTTTGTAGCAACGGCAACAATTTGTTGTAACTTTTGGACTGCACAGAAATATTAGTATTTTTTTTCTGATTAAACTCATTTGATTATTCACATCATGTTTTATCAGCATTCACCACAAAGCTCTCATCCTCCTACACTGCACATGGACATATTTTTGGGTCCCACCTAACAGACAAACGTATCAGCATAAGGTGCTATTAAATTCAACYTTCTGAAGTCAGTGGTTTATTACTTTCCATTAAGGAAAGGAGAACAGGAAAACTCTGCTTACATCATTGCAAAAGTTTTTCTGCTTCTAGACTTAGTGACATTTTAAGACACGCAGGCTCTATTTTATTCACAAACAGTAATACTTACTTCCTTGGCAATGACAGGAAATAAAGCAATTAGATAAATCATTTTCTAAGTCAACACTGGTGTCTCAGCATAACTAAAGTTTGGCTCACCAATATATACAATTCTAAAGCGTTTGGAAATCTACAGTCCCATGTGAAAATATTAATTTATATTTAAATTGCTAACTGCTTACCCATCCTAACAATATTAATATTAACAGTGTGACATGAACTCTCTGCTGAATTTGAGATGTAGGTCAGTTATACGTAGAGTTGCCAAACTATAGCTGGAAAATATGACTTCATCAAAGAATGAGCTGTGGTCCAAGGGTGAAGAGYAGAGCCACACGTGCTAGCACACATCAGCCTGGCGCCACCATTGTGTGCAGAGCTTTGGCATCCCTGTGTTTCCATCCCTGCCCTGRTGTCAGCACCTCTGATGGGCATTTCCAGCCCTTCCCTGTGAGCAGCAGGACGCCCTGAGGCCGCTCTCTGGTTATTTGCACTTTCACACATCGTCTCCACAAAAGGCTGAGCTCAGCTTATGAAATGTTTGACAGAATATTGCTGCTGCGACTCAAATCTTACGCTTTAAACTTCACACTGCAGTGGTAAGATTAAAAAGAAAATAGCTACCTTTCCAAAAAAGGGCTAGAAAATAAAGTGAAGCGGTGAACTGCTTAATGCATGTAAATTCTGATTATCATTATTGCTGATCCACAGATGCTGAGCTAGAAAATACCTGTGTTCTCTCACAGCTCAGCACTTTTCTTTGTCTCCTCACTGCAGCTGCAGACTGATGGATCTAAAAGGTAAGTTTACTTCACCATCAGGTTTTAAGTTCTATTAGACTACRGCTGGAGATTTCATTCTCAGTTTTAACAACAGTCTGGACAGATGTGCATCTCCAGCAGGGGTAAGGAAAGTTCTTTGATGAGCAAGTCAGCTGGCCATGCTCACTATTGCAGTGAGATTGCCCCGCAGCCTGTGGGCTGGAAGCTCTGTGGTGGAGCCCTAGACCCCTTCTGGGAAAGAAAATACATCTAAAGGAAACTCTTGAGCACACAGATGTGTGTGTGAATGGAAGTGACAGGCAGAGAAGAAATAGGGCTGGGGTGGGTGACATGCCTAATAAAAAAAAAGACTAATGATCAATGATTTTCTGCCTTCACTGGTAATTTATTTCAAGACACAAGGCAAATTTCTGATTCCAACATCACAAGAAGCGTSAGTGCAGTTCTTACTTACCCTTCACTGGACATTCAATCACAATATTTGCTCCARTTCTCGCCACGATTGTATCTCCAACAACTGCCGAGAAACTGCTGGCTTCTGGATTGGTCATGTTTAACACAGAGTACAGGATGACAGGAACCTCTTTGAAATTAAAGGGATAGTGAGTTTTAAAAGCTTTATTTAACTGTTAAGCATAGATCCTGCATTTCAATTCATCATGTTTGGAACAGAATTCAGTCTGCAAAGCAGCAGCCAGAAAATACAGGTGGGATAGATACAGGCAGASTGCATCCACACCTGTTGAAGTTTTAGAGCTACAAGACCATTTTACTGCTACCCATTAAACCAGGCAGAGTTTCATGGGCTGCCAAYAAAAGGAGCTATTTGACATTGCAGTGGGCATGGTTAAATACGTATTTCCACACCCATCCATGGGTATCCAGCTCTGTGTGTGTGTACAGAAGCCCAKCAATGCTGTGCAATGCTCAGCTGTACCTGCCCGCAGCAGCAGCGATGTTTCCATATCAGAACCAGAGGTGCTGACAACCAGGCATCCGTAGGCACCGAGCTCCTTTCCAGCAGGATTCCGAATGTGCACCTTGCCAGGGGTGTCCAGGATCACCCTGCACAGGAACCAAGCAAACCCCAGGGTTATCCCTGCGACAAGGACAGCTCTTTGGGGCAGGAGTGGCAGCAGCAAAGCTCCTTTGTAGCAGCTCCAGAGCAGCAGGGCAGTCCCAGCTCTGCTCCTCTCTCTGACACACACAGGGAGGATTGTTCACATCTCCTGCTCCCACAGAGCCGTGTCCTACTTGCAGCCTTTTGAAGGACACTGAATTTGCTACCACCAGGTTCCCCTGGGAACAGCAGTGTGAATAAATCAGAATACCACAATTAAAAGTATTACGCTTGGCAAGAAATCGATCTCACCAGGGCAAGCTTGGTTTTCAGCAGGATTGGGGAATTCACAAATCTATAGCCTGATCTGACTTTCAAATGACTATGGGGTTCAGTTTGTTGGGCTTTTAAATTTTTTTTTAATATCAGCATTGAAGCTAGAATCTTGCACAAAATTTCACAGGTGTATTGAATACCTTGCCTGCCTTCTGAGGGGCAAAATGTTAGAGACAGCATCCCAGGTGGGCAAGAGGCTGAAAATTGCTTTTCTCCCTTGTTACCTTTCTCAGCACTAAGTGACATGACTTGCCACACACTCAGAATATTCCCAAAAACCCACAGTTGGTGTTTTCCTACAGTAAGTACACTTACAAAACAGATTCACAAAAAAATAATATTAAAAATACTTGTGTCTCAACAAAAGAAGCCACCTTGGCACGGCTCAAGTACATCCTTCTCCACAAACCTGACAGACAAACAGCACTGACCTCCCCACACTTTTGACTCCACACATATTCACGTGAATTTATGTTTAAAAAACCTTACTGGGAAAAAAAAATTTGGAAATAAACCTACTTTGCTAATATATGCCTTAAGTGCAAGAATAGCAGTCTGCGCTAAAATTAGGAAGCAAACACACTCGTGAATAAACAAAACACCATCACGTCCAAAAAAATCAAAGTATCACTTGCAACAAATTAATGGAAAATTATGCGCATTTCACAAAATAAACACAACTGGTGGGAGCTACATGGCTCCAAAAACATTTGCACTTTTTAAAATGCCTTAGTTTTGGTGTCTTTGCTTTAATTGATAGCCCTGCAGAAGTGTATTTTTCTTGGCAGTGCATTTAATCAGTTAAATATGTTGAGAAATATCCAAAAGCGCCTTTATCATTTCAGAACCAGTTTTTTTCATTACTCAAGAGCCAGCTATAATTCCAAGAGGCTCACACACAAAGTTAATGTTAATATTACCAGGTGAGCTTCTAATTTATCAGTACTGAAGCAGAGGTATTTGCTCAGTCTTGAGCAAATAYCTGATTGTAAGAAACTCTTGCTGTACTCGTTAATCAGCTCTCAAATGTGATGGTAATACAGATTCTTTATTATTTTGAATTTCACTGTTCTCAACAGAAATACTTCAAAGTATTAAAAAATAAAATCCATAAAAGCTAATTTTTTTTATTTTTAATTGAGGTTATGCAGCTCCAGTTAAACCTAAATAGTGTGCTGAAGAAGGTATCAGTGATATTTTCCCTCCTTAAAATGAGTTAGAGTTAAGACTTCTTTTCCTCTGTACTATGGCAGATGGTTTTAATGCATTCCCACTGTATTTAGTATTTGAATGAGTCCAATAGCCTCTCTAATTTGAGGGTAAATCTGCTTTCTTTCTGACACAGCTGAAATGATTGAGGCAGATCAAAAAATACAGCCAGGACATCCAAAACACTTCACCTTATAAAAACAGTCAATCCTCCTATGAGGATCTWGGGAATGGACAAACACTTGGATGTCTGTAAAGCCAAACAACGTKACAGACACTTGAAAGAATAAAAATCAATTACTTAACTAAAAAGATGGAAAGCCCAGTGGCCACGCTTATCTCATCTGCTGTGCAGGGTGGATTTTTTCCGTCGATAGCGACATAATAAGTCATTCAAAAGTAAAAGAGAAGCTATTTACTTACTTCTCAGAGGCTTTTAATGTCTCGCCATCTTTTGTCCAAGTATATTTCACTTCACTAATACCAGCTGTTTCACACAGTAGATTGACAGCTTGAGTATTCTTGGTCAGAAAAACCGTATTTCCAATCCGTACAGTTACTGTTTTGTTGAAGGAAACTTGAGGAATTTCCTTTTGCCTCATAATAACTGGAACCTTCTGGTCAAACGTGAACTTATCAGCCGTTTTTGTGCTGAAACGCTCAGATTCATTTGGAGATTTGCCCGCGAGTTTTGAGGCAACTTTCTCATCCTGGGCGCCCTTCCATTTTTCAGCAGTTGTGTGTGGAGGCCTGGAGAGCTCAGCRATCAGCTGGTGGATGAGCTGGGACGCCAAGGGGTCGCTGAGCTGCCCCGTTTCCACGAGCTGGCTGACGTTGCTCAGCAGCTCCTGGAGGTGCTCGGTGTCCATGCTGTCGGTGGAGAGCACCGCAGCCTCCAGGCGTTTGGGGCTGAGCTCGCGGGAGCCAAATCCCTCGGCCAAATTGCTCCCGAGCCCTTGAGAACGCCTCAGCGACGGCTGATCGTTCAGCTGCCTGTCACCCAGGTACAGCTCGTTCTTCTTGCTCCACATTTGCCACATTTTGCTCATTTTGTGCCATTTGGTGCCGAGGCTGTTGGCCTTGTTGTGTTCCGGGCTGCGGGCCGGCTGTG